AATTTCACACTCCAGTCTCCAGCAAGAGCGAGAAAAGGCACACTGATGGGAAACAACACAGACAAAAAGCCTGGAGGAGGAGGCGCCCTGATACCTGGGAAGCGCCCGCTCTGCTCTCCGGCTAATGAAAACGTCCTCCTGGCTGTACAGCTGCAGCTGGATGCAGTCTGGGCCACGGAGCTCATCAGCTGAGAGCCTTCCTGCTCCTGATTCTCAGCTAAAGGAGTGGGTCACCAGCCACGTGAATGTCACGTCAGTCCTCCCGGCCCAAATATGTTCTGGCCCTTAACACATTCAAATCCAGGAAATTTTATCGCCATTTCTCGTCAGCTGCCCACGCCTTCTGAAGACGACGTTGCACGAACGTCTGCAGCTATGGCTGGCCTCCCTCCGGCAGTGTCTGTCTCCTCGTATTCCGATAACATCTCTGGCGCTTCGGGGTCATTCCCTTGCTGCTTAAACCTTGAAATCCAAGACCCCCCTCGCCCGCTTCAGCCTCCAACCCTGCCACCTCGTTCCCTGAATGCTGGTACTTATTTCTCTAATTTCGGTAAAACTCCCAGTGCCCTCCCTGGCTGACCCACTTCCTTTCGACTTTCCGTCTACATCATCTCTTGTGTTTTCGTTTCCCTGGGCACGAGCTCAGATTCTATTCCTGTTTCCCTTCAATTTGGTGAGGCCAAATGACTGAGTCAAGATCTATGGAGTGAAAATGAAAATGCTGTGTCATTGCTGGGCTGGTCCTTAACGACCTCCCGCTCGGGCCCCTTCCTCTGTCCCATCTGCGGGAAGAATGACGACGATTCCCAAGGCCATGACTGACCACGGTGAGGAGAGCTGGCCCCGGTCTCAGTGACTTCCATGGGATCGTTACGGCAAGTGAATTAAACTGCTGTTAGGTTAAGCTACTGAAATGCTGAGGTGGTTTGTCACCCGGTTGACCTGTTTGACTAATACAACAACCAAACCCGTTCGTATTAGATCAGACAATCTTTTATTTCAATCTCTCTCTCCTTAAATCTTTAACTCATCTGCTCTCTTGACCCTCCATGCTGCCTCCCTAGGAAGACCCCAGCTCAGGACATCAGTTTCCCCATCTGCTCTCTCAGCTTTACACTACTTCCCAGCTGGGGAGAGGAAGAG